AGTGACCCTAACCATGCCTGATTTGCAAACAGAAGTGCCATTTAATTTGCATTTTTTCATATAAATTCCTATTTTGAAGAAAAACAGAACTTAAACTCAACCGATCAGAAACAGTGGACAAATATAATTCTGTAACCAGGGACTTCATATGGGATAGACCAAATGAGACAAGTATGTAACTGCCACCAAATATTTTCTTAGCTTTATTTCTGTGTTTGTCATATAAAAGTCTCCCTCTTGAATTCCTCCAAGGAGCTTCCTAGCAACTTCTGATTTGGATTTGCATGATTCGTGAATTGCTGTTGTTCAAATAAACTCTTTACAAATTTATTGTACCTTAGGTTACTTTCTGCTACAACCCATCATACTGTTACCTACTTGTTTCTAATCTGTTGTGAATAGAAGTTGCTTCCAATGTTCAGGCTTCTCTTGCTGTACAGTCTAGTGTGATGGTTGTGCTCAGCACAGATTAACACATGCACACTAGCCCTTAAATCAAGAGTCAGCTGAGTAGAGGAAAGAAGACTTCCAGGTAAATCAGAAGTCAGGTGACCTAGCATAGCTCCGCCTTTTGCAGGTTATTTGATATTGGGAAGTCACTTCATTTCTCTTCTGTCTCAATTTTTTTCACTATTAAATCATGAAGTTTGAAGTAGGTGATTATAAGTTTCCTATCCTACCACCCTGGCCTTATCATCAAACATTTTCAAACAAAGGAAATGGGAACACAGGAACAAAGAGAACATCATTCCCAAGGGCCTTTTGAGAATTCTTAATAGGATGATGTTGAACCAAATATACTAATAGTATAGACATCAAGTAGTTAATTTGATAAATGAAAGTTACATGGGAATCTTTCTACTGCTTTATATAGGTAATCTACCTTAAACATTGTATTAAAATTTAAATATAATAATTTAAAATAATTTCAATATGATAATAATCTAAATAATTTTAAATCTAATTTAATAATAATAATAATCTCCTATGTTTCATCTTTTTTTTTGGGAAAATCCTCTTCCCTCAACAAAGCATTCTGTTTATATGGTTTTCTCATTTTATCCTCATTTGACAGAACAAGTATAAATGTGATCAAGAACAAGGGCGTGGCAACCACAGTGCTTGGGTTTGAGTCTTGACTCTGCTATTTCCTAGCTGAGCAACTTTGAGTATGTTACCTCTCTGTGCCCCACTTTCCTCCTATGCAAATAGAAGTGGGCTTAGTGGGCTAAACACACAAAGCTCTTAGCACAGTGCCTGGCACATAGCTGTTATTTAATAAATTATAACCCTAATCATTCCTATTTCACCAATCCACAAACAGATTTTTTCAAGGGTTCTTACATTAGGTAGTGACAGAACTGGTATGAAAATTAATGTTCCTTTTTGTATATTAGCTCCAATCTTTATTCACCTGAAAACTAGGTAATGGCCTTATTTTATAGAGTTAGATAAGAGAGTAATGAAGTTAAATAATTTGTCCAAGGTCACATTGTTTATAAACACTTAATACATTTCTATTCACATCTGACTTTGAGGTCATTGCTTTATACACACACACACACACACACACACACACACATATATATATATACTGGGCTCTGTTACTTGAGAAATTATGGAGGAGAAAAAGAATTTGCTAAGCCCAACCTTCGTTTCTAGGTAATTTTACAGCATTAGGGTCATACTGGAGATGAATAAAATACCAGAGGTGACACTCCGGCTTATGGACCATTGGTGGCTAGTGATGTTGAGTTACAAAAAGTCAAATTCTTTAGTGCTGTGATTACATAGT